GATGGTCACGGACTTCTCTGAAAAGTGTTGGAAAAAATATTATGCAATCTGTAAGCTTTCTTTTTTCTAGTCTCCAATAATTTCTTACTGTTCATACATTTCATTCTTTGGATTTAACAGTATGAATTTAACATACAGCTTTCTTTCACATTTACTCACGGCCTGATGGCTTTTCCAGGACTTGTCCTTCCTGCTTTTGACAAGGGAGATATCCTGTCTGTTAAGTGGATGACTGCAAATAGCTACTTTTGCTCATTATGTGTTGGTTTTAGTAGTTTAGTTCAGAGAGAAAAACCTCATTTATTTATTCTAACGTTCTTGAGGCACCACTCATTGTTACTAACCTTGACCCTGCTCCAGAGGCTGTTTTGTTTCCTTGTCACTATGTCTATAATTGCAGGAGCCAACATTGACGACCTGTGCAGTCTTGGTTTGGGACATAGATCCTGAAATGTGGCCAAGTATTAGCTCAGTTGGGGATTCATGAGAAATATAAGATGCTTAAAACTTCACTGAACACTAATTATGAAACTACTTAAAGCAAATTAAGTAGTTTACCTTATTGGAGAGCAAGGTTTAAAAATATTTAGCTAATGTTTTAAACATTCTATTTAGATATAATATGCTTAACATCTAAAAGTAATACTCCACTGTTGTTATTATTTAATTAAATCTTGCCTTTCCTTATGATTTTAGAAGGCAGTTGTTTTTTTTCCTCACTTAAAATGCATCAAATTATCAAAAAATCCCAGGTCCCCAGCCTGGTCATACATACTTTCATAGACTTACAAGGGAACAGTTTTGGTTTGTAATCTGGAGAGGTGAGCTCTGATTCTGGCTCTGTCGCTAACAAGCTGTGTGATTTTAAAAAGGCCACATCATTCTCTGAGCCTGTTTTTCTTACTGTAAAATAAGGGAGTGGAAAATAGTAATGATGTTCATTTTGCTGGTTTGTATTTTAAACAGTAAACCCATTTTTAAAAAGTCTTAAGAGCAGACTAAACATATAAAACACATAGAACACATATTTTTAAAAATAACTTTATTTAAGTTCACATTTATTACATTTATTTACTTAATAACTCACCCAATTAAGAAAAGAGTTGCTATCTGATAAGCACAAAATGTGAAATTAGTGTTATGATCAGGTGAGGTCTTATAGCTGTAGAAGCACCTGGTATATTGCTAAATTTGTTTCGATGATTACAGTTTCAGGAGACACCATTTACACAGGGCAGATGTGACAAACAAGGACAGATTTCAGACAATTCACCTTGTAATCTCAGGATCCCTTCACTGAAATGTATTTAGATACTTAAAAGAAAAAAGATACAAGGAGATAACTGATTAGGTCCTAATAGCCCTTTTTCTTCTGTATTTTTCTCTTGCATTGAGTTACTGATGGATTCTGGTACCTTAATTCCTAAAATAATATGACATTACAAAAATAAAATGAAAAAATAAAAATATTAAGGTATCATCTTAAAAACAAGTGAAGCATTTGGAAGTTTTAAGATACCCACACAGAAGCCAAGGCAGGTGCTGTGGAAGTCCTTTACCAACTGAGGTCCACTGTGCACAAATCTCTTAGCAAGAATGAAGTCAAGACTATGCACTGGGTCGGATATGATTGCTTTTCCCTAGCAATCTCCACCCCCAACCCCCAAAAGAAAATATCTTTTCATTTCACTTTTCTCTGTAGAAAAAAATGGGTTGTTTTTGTTTTTTAACTAAGAATAATAAAAAACAGTGGCAATTGTTCAGCCATGTTAATTTTAAAATATAGGTTTTATATACTATTCTCAGTGTAAATATTTCTAGTAATTGAAAGAAAGCAGGATAACCTTCATATTACTATTTTGACATCTTTTATTTAGGCCCAAATGTTTGGGAAATTAAAACTTGAGCAAACGAGTGTATTTCTCATGCCTTTTTGACATGTCATTAGTTTTATTTACATTTCCCTAGCACCTTACTAGTTTTATGCTATTCTTGACATTGTCAGAATGAAAACCAGATAGACTGTGCCTTGCAAACGTATAATCCAGCAACATCCGGATCACCTATTGTGGGTTTTTTCAGGTGTCTTATTGAAGTTCTGTTACATCTGGGTTGTACTAACAATGCTATTTTTTTCTTCAGTCTTATGTAGCATGTATTCTCACTATCCTCCCAGAAGCTCCTTATATCTTCAGAGAGCATCAGCATACTGGCTGCCCCCTCTAGCTAGAAGTTGGGATTTACTTCTAGGGCCTCAGTCGTTTTTTAGCTTTTACTTGCCTCACCTTAGAATTTTAAAAAGTTTTAAAATAAAAAATGCAGCACTGAAGCATTTTTAAAAATACCTAACCATTCACTTTATATTATTCCTTCCCAAAGACTCCAAGTCACAGACTTGAGAGACCATACACTGTTAAATTACTCTGTCGTGACTACCTAGCATGCTCTCGGGAAAGGGTTTTATGAAGGGTCCTGGAAAAAGGGCTTAGGGCAAGAGAAGCTTTAGGAGGTGGTTAACAGAACCTCCAGGAAGTGGTAGAAAGGGGAGAAATGTGCTAAATAAACAGTCTTCTTAGGAGCTACCTTCCTGGTAGAGGTCGGAAATACATACTTGCTGCAGATTGCTCTAGAAGACATCTTTGTTCCCTTTGGTTCAGATTCTGATGGCCTTGTCCCCAAAGGGGTAGATTATTTTAAGCACTTTCCTTGATATCCGGACTCCTTTAGTAATGCCAGGATCCAAGTGATTATTCAAAGACACCTCAGTAAGCGCTGTGGTGTAGGCAGCAAAGCTCTCAACCTTATCCCCAAATGAAAGATCAGACCCAGGAAAAGCATTTCGGATTGCCTTTGGTGGAATATTTTGAGATTCTTAGTGTTTGTTTACCACAGGTAATAGTCGAGCACCATCTGATGTCACGAATTTGTGGCCAACGTATTTTGTTCATTCAACAGATGTATATATTGAATACCTACTGTGTGCCAGGCACTGTTCTAGGCATTCAAAATCCTTTAGCGTTAAAACAAAGATCATTACCTTCATGAAGAACAGACCATATGTGGTTAACATAATAAATAAGAAAATTATATAGTGTATGATTAGTCTGTGCTGCCATAGCAAAATACCACCGACTAAGTGGCTGAAACAACAGAAATTTATTTTTCACAGTTCTGGAGGCTGGAGGTCCAAGATAAAGGTGTTGTCAGGTTTGGTTTCTCCTGAGGCCTCTCTCTGTTTGGCTTGAAGATCACCACCTTTTCACTTTGTCTTCACATGTGTCTCACTTCTTATAAGGGCACCAGTCATATTGGATTAGGATCCACCCTGATGGCCTCATTTAACCTTAATTACCTCCCTATCTCCAAATACAGTCACAACGGGGTTTAGGGCTTTAACATATGAATTTGGAGGGCATATTTCAATTTTGAATAGTATGTTATCAGCTGATAAATATTTTGGATAAAAAGGAAGATTAAAGTAGGGTAAGAGAGATTGAGAGTACTGGGGAGGGGTTGCAATTTTGAACAGGGTAGACTTCCTTGAGAAGGTGGTATTTTAGCAAAGACCTGAAGGTTAAGTTACATTAGTGTTGTTATAACACAGGGACCAGAGGTGGAGGAGTGGTGTGATGAAAGTTGGTCAGGGACATAGGATGAGCAGTCTATGGACTAGGCTCTAGTCCTAGCTCTTTCTGGTAGCAAAACTTCCAAATGTTATGTTGGCCCTCTGGGCTCGTTTCCAGATATGCTGGCCTGTATGAACTTGTGATTCCAGAATATACATTCTTGGAGTGACATGAGTAGAAAGGACTTTGTGTCCTTTCTAATAGGTGTTTGCTTTGGGGATGTATTTTCTGCCTTTTATTTATTAAGTAGGAATGGGCTTATGGCTCATTCTAATAAGTGTTACTAAGAACTCTGTATTAGGATGAGATCTTCTTTCTCAGAAGACAAACACACCCAATAAAACCAACTTAAAAGTTCCTGTTAAGTGGCCTTTTTCAGGGGAGCAAGATGCCTGTGAAAGTTGCAAGTGGTAGAGGATGCTTGTCTTCCTTCTTGGTCTTTCCTGCGTAGTGTGTAGCTTAGTGGTACGCTGTAGCCAAGCCACAGAATCCATCCCGTAATAGGCCAGTTAGCTCTGCCCTGACCACACACTGCACACCAACCAACCATGCTAAAAATGGAAAAAGGGCATAAGTGGAAACACTGGTGAAATCTGAATAAACTCTGGAGTTTAGATCATAGTAATGTGAATTTCTTAATTCTGACAAATGCATCATGGTTAGGTAAGATGTTAACATCGGGAATGCTGGGTGAAGGATATATGGGAACTCTTCAAACCATCTTTACAACTTCTCTGCAAATCTGAAATTATTTCAAAATAAGTTTTCTTTAAAAATTGCCCTTTGTGGACTTGGAGATGACTCGGGCTACAGACATGGACCCAAAAAGCAATACCAACTGCATGTCCCACTGTGGGTCAGTGATGTTGGCTTATAATAGAGCAAAAGTGCTGTATCTCTAGTCTGAGCTTTTCTTTCTGTCAAATTCTCTGTCCTCACCTTATACCCCACCCCAGGTTTGTGCTGTGGTTTTGCCTCTGACTCATGTTTATATTTAATATTTTATGGCAGAATAACTGCCTGAGGCCATTATTCTCTAACAGGATTGGTGGGGAGAGTGCAGATAGGCCAGGGAGGCAGCAACATAGGCAGGAAAGAAGACGTTGAGGGAAACCAAAGAGAAAATGCCCAAACACGTTGTAGAAGCAGCACTTTTTGAAACAGGATGGATTTGAAAGCTTCAGAAGCCCACGAGCTCATGGAGTGTATTGTATTTTTGTGCCCAGGGCTCAGCCGATTTTGATTAGGTTGTGGTCCCCCCTGCTGTTAGCACAGTGTGATCGTGCATCCATACTTCATTAAGTTGGGGGCAGCTAAGAGGGGAGTGGCCTTTTATATCTGTGTATATATATAATCCCTTTCTTCTTTTGACAGCTGCAAATCAGAAGGAGCCCATGAATCTTAACTTTAAAGTGAAAGAGGAGCCCAAGGAAGAGGAGGCCCTCAGTGCCTCCTTGCCTCGGTCCAACTATGTGTTCAGCCCGGAATCTGAAGTGTCGGCCCCGAGCATCTCTGAAGACACGCTGAAGGCCCAGGAAGGGAAGGGGAGTGGGCTAAGGCGGGACATGTCAGTCAAAGCAGCTTCTGAACTTCTCATGAAACTATCAGGTACTTGATTTATTCTAAAATGTTCACATTCTGATCATTTCACTTTCGAGCCAACTGGCTGCTTCCTGCACAGGCTATGATTAGCCTAATGGCCACAATGTCATTATTTCGGCGAATTTGGGGATGATTGGATTACTTGGCTTAAAGTCCTGTGTTGTGTGTATGGGTTTGTTTTCAGATGTTAGCTTTATATCTGACCTACTAAATACAACCTTTTTCTGAATATTGCTGCAGATTGTTGGAAAGCACCACTGCTTTCTAAGATGATGTAGGTCATAATTTTAAATGGGTTCTAATGACATTCAAAGCACTTCTGCTAATTGATCAGAATATCTATTTTTTCCTAATAGAGGACCTTGCATTTCTTGTCTGTATTTATATTTTATAGTCTTTAAGAACCATTGAAAATATTTTTCTTAACCTAATAAGTAGTTGAGATGGCACTTGAAGTAATTACGCATAGCAATGAGATTTTAGGAATTGAAAATTTTATAATGGGATATTACAATAATTAATCTCAGTCCTTAAGATGAATGACTTTTAAAATTAGTATCTAAATGTAATCCCAGCCTTTCAAATGTTGGCAAAACGGGTTATAACTTGAAATTTATGTACCCAGACTCCTATCTGCTCCAGCCCCTTCTGAACAGGTAAACATTTAGTGTCTTTTAAATTGAAAGGTATGACTTTTTAGAACATGGAAAGAAAAGTTATATCAATAAAGTTATATCAAGACTTACCAAGTCATACTGCATCCTTAGTTCACTACTGCTTAAAGATGTACAGTTAGGGGGGCTCCTTCCCTGCGTAATTTCCTAAGCAAATCTGTGTCCCTGGTTGACCAGTAGCTTAGAAGGTAAGAAATTATTAGTGATTTTCTTAGAGTCATTGTATCAGAACAGTTGAAATTCCTGTATTTGCCAGTTGGTGGGGTTAAGAATTCTTTCCTTTAGTGTTGATTCAGAATGCACTGGAACTTCAGGGGAACATTATTTGTTATAAAATAGAGCGTGATACAATTATTACATTTTATTATAGCTTCATTTTTCTAAACTTGGCAATGATAGTGCAGCTTTTCCCATAACTGGGAGGTCTAACAAGATTGTGCTGATTGGTGAAAGCCGAAAGTTTAAAAAAGTGATATTCAAGCCAACAGCTTTTCTTGTAGTTGAACCCTCCCTTCAGTGTCAAAAAGTCTTGGTGACAGAGAGTAATCTGTTGTTTTTTTCAGTCAATTCAGAGAGGCCACACAACTCTCTGATTCTTTTCCATATCATAGGCTTTCACATCACAGGGACTTGAGCTCCTCTAACAATGACTTTTTCCCCTCCTGATGGTAAGATTCTAGTGTATAATATTTCTGTCTCAGAGTTTGCTGTGCAGCCAGTATTGTGAGTAGAGAAAGCTGAAGTGGACCCGAATGATAATACGCAAAAACGAGATTTCAAGAAAGAGGTTCTTTCAGGAAAAACATTTTATCTTAATGCTTTTGGATGATGAGGTTTAAAACAATAAATTAGGAAATCACTTCTTCGTTAATGAGGTCCCTCAAATGGAATATGGCTATGCAGCCACACACATTTGATGATATTTGTGGACAGCAGTGGCCTTTCTAAATGTTTATGTTGAGTTTTATCGAGTCCATCCAATGTTGAATGGACGACATGGTCGAATTTCCAAAGGGCGTCTGCCCTGCTTTGTGGTGTGGAAGTGAAAAGGTGTTTGAAGACCAAGATAACTATTTTTTGCCCTGAAAACATTTCCCAGCATTCTAAGTGCAAGAGGCCTAGTTCAAAAAAATATGCATCCCAGTCCCTACCCTCTAGGTGCTTATATCTGGTCAAGAAAAATCCGAGGGAATTCATCCAGTAAGTAACTGGCACCTGGAACTTCATTCTTCTGCTCTCTAGCAGACTGTGGTCAGGTACACTGCAAAGAAATGTCCAAGTTAGTCCTAACTATGGGCATGTGACTTAAAACAAATGTCACCATTCCGAAGCTGCAAGATAGAGAGGACTCACCCTTAATTAGGTTTCAAGTGGACACCGGAGTTTCTAAGCATGGATAGGTCAGTGCTCTTGGAAGGAGGAAGTTGTTAGGAAAAACTTGCTATTCTGTCTTCCCTCACTTTGTAACTTTAGCCATTTCAGTGTTCATGCCCTGAAAGACATCCAAGTATAGGACTTGTCAGTGTCTTCACACCCCCTTTCCCAGGATATTTCCTGTCCCTCTTAGACAAGGGTGGTAATTCAGTTCTCAAGGCATCTATGCAGTAGTCAGAGCTGCTCTGGATGCACCTCATGTGAGACCCCCAAGGCCTTGCTGCAGGCATCCGGTCACGCTGGGGGAAATCCTTCCGGTCAGAAGAGTCGAGCGAGAAAAGGGCATCCCGTGCAGTATCATACATTTTTTTTCCATCTTTCAGTTTGGAACCAAAGAACAGCTAAGATGTAGAATGAAAGGATTTTTCTTCTCTGTTGCTTATTTCCTGGAGAATAGAAGCTGTGATCCGTAGTAGTTTAGGCCATTTTAGCCTTTTCCTTGAATTAATAAGAGGAAGCTAGTCAATAATTTTGGCTGCTTCAATTCCAGTTTTAATTTATGATAATGCCTTAATGGATGTTGGGCACGTGGCCCAGTCAAATATCATGTGAAACTTCCCTATGTGGAGAAACCTCTGTAGGTATATTGTTTTCCAAATTGACATTTACATCTTATGGGAAAAACACGGATGCGTTAGAGACTCGACTAAATTTTTCATTAGCTGCCTGTTTGGGGAAATCTGAGTTTTCTTACTTCCTGTGGCTCAAGCTCTATGTCAGTTGTTAATTGGGAAGTCAAGTGTCTGACAGCTGGGCCAGATAAATTGATAACCATAAAGAAAGCAACCCACTCCGAGGAAACCACTGGACGCCTGCGACTACCTGTTGTTATGTGACACAAGGCAGCCAAAATAATCAAGGCTTTTCTGCTAAGCGTATAGTTGCCAAAGATAATTCCCAAAAGTCCTGATTTAAGGAGGCCGACATGCCAAAGTTCAATACAGAGGATATATGACATTCGACAGACTAGGAGAATCAAGTCGCACTATTAAACTCTGGTTTTGCAGTGTCTGGTGACCTTGCAAACTTAAGGAACAGATGTGTTACCATAGATATGACTTAATGCCGAAAGCGACACAACATCCTATCTGCTTTGTCTCTGTTGTGCCTGAAGAGAAGCATCTAGACTCAAAGAGATCAAGAAATGCTCTCTTCTCCCTTTGGGGAGCCACGGGTTTACATGGGGATGTGCATATAAAATGTACCACATATATGGTTATAGCTAGAAGCAGCAGGTAACAATGACTTAAAAATATGAGTTCCACAAAAATAAGTAGCTGGAAAACCAGAGTTATTCAGAAACATTATTGAAAAACAAAACACTTAAATGTATCCAACATGGTAAGTAGAACTTGATATCCAGACCTTAATTAGAAACCTGTCTATTGGTTTTCTTATTTCTGTGCTTAAAAAAGGACACCGGATGGATTTATATTCATTTCTGATTTATATTCGTTGATCCCAACCTAGTGTTGGAAAGGAGTAGAAATGATAATTGCCTCTTGTAGAAGAATCCGAGAGGGCTCTGGGTCTGAAATGCATAGTGATGCAGGGGAGTCAGCTAAGTAAGCTAGGGCCTCAGCTGTGACGGATTTCGAAGCAGGTGAACTTAGGTAGGGTAGTTTTCACTGGTGATGCTAACAGCTTCTGAGTTCAAAAGAGCAATTAGACAGATGTTTCTTAGTCCCAATTCCAAATTCCAGCTGATGGCCTCACTCCGATTGGGGCCCACCAGTGGACACTTCTGTATCTCGGGGTAAGGGCACGTTGGGCTGACATGGGCGCCGTCACATAGGATCCACGGGAGGAGGAGTGAAAGTGGTGTGAGACCAGGAAGGTGAACAATATGTATGAGCCACAAAAGTTAAGGAGCAGATTATAGTAACTGCTATTATTTAAATATTAAATGTACATGCGTTTTGGCCGTTGGATGACATTTCCTTTCTGGTAGACCCTCAGAGAAGACCGGCCCTGCCAGGACTTTACCCAGCCAGCCGCAGCTGTGCGTGTGAGGCAGTGCTTCTCCAGGGGTGTCCCCAGACCAGCAGAGTGGGCACAGGTTGGGGACAATCAGCAAGTGTTAGAAATGCAAACCCCTAAGCCCTACTCTTGGACCTGGCTGCACCCCTGTGGTTTGTACAAGCCCTACCAGGATTCTGACAGCCAAGTCTTGAGAAGCACTGAGCTGAGGAAACGGTTAACTAGAGAAATGAATTTTGTCCATCTGAAAAGAATGCCTTAGGTTGAAGCTAACAGAGAACAAAGCTCTATTGAATGTACATTTTACTCTTTAAAAAGAGCCATCTCTCTTTAGTGGAGATTCTTTTTAATTTATTATGAAATAATGCTATCTTGGAACCTTTTTCAGAAGGGCACATGTACCTAATAAATTAAGAGAGTGTTGATTACAAGCCTCAGATAGTACTACTATTTTCAGTGTTCTTTGCTGTTAAGTTTCATGATTATTCCTGGGCAGTATTGGCATTCTTTTAGGAGGAAAAAGCTGCTCCCCCTCAACCCCAACAAATCAAAGACCATTCAAGGGACACTTCTATTCTAAAGAATTCCTTGAGATAAATTAGAGATTTTAGCTAAATAATTTCTCAGGGCAAAAATTATTCACTGTTCCATCTTGTATATCTCCTTCAGAAAATTGTAATCTATCCAACATTATAAGCAGTAAGACTTCAATAATAATCTACGAGGATGGAAAATAGCTGTTTCGGTTTTCTATTAATGTCATCTCACATTTGCCTCCTTCAAACTTATGTTATTTAATTAAGCGAAAAGAACGTGGGAAACCTAGTATCTAGTTCCGTGTGCTTCTACTTGCTTACGTACAGCTGAAAGCAAAGCTCACTCCTAACGTGAACAGGTGACATGTTAGCAAGGCCATGT